TCGTGATGACCTCTAAGGGTCTTCTGTTACCCGCTGCAGTGGTCATCAACTAAAGACCAGCCACTCACCTCAAAAACAGTGGGAAAACCACCCTCACAGTGATTCCCGTGAGAATCAGAGGATGGAGGTAAAATAAAAGGCCCTTAAGAATCGGGTGCCTTCAGGAAAAAGCATCGACTCTTCAGCCTTCCACCATCTGCCTCGAACTTACCTCATCAGACACCTTCCACAAGGAGGCTGTGGTAACTTCCAACACCCCCGCCTCGCCTTGTCACCTCTGTATTCCTCCAAACACTAACCCTCTGGGCCCCTACACGTTAACACCTACCCTTCAAAACACCTAACTCCAAACAGCAACAAGCCATATGATGCGCCCCAAATCATCTGTCTATACCCAACATGGTGTAGTGCAATCACCAACACATCTATCTGTGTCTCACTAAACTGACATTCTTGTGTAGTGTCTGAGGAATGTCTGTGCTGTCCCAGTGCCCAAACCGACAGTAAACGACCCACTCAACAAATGGGTCTGCTGTATAAATGAACCCAGCCAAACTCCCTTACTTGTATGAGGAAAGGAGACCAGAGACGCTGAGAGACCTAACCCAGGTAACCCAGCAGTGAAGGCTAAAATAATGTAGGAAAAGTCCCTGGGGAGGACTCCAAGACCTGCTGTCCTTTGCAGCGCCCCTCCCACCGTGCACCGCTCATCAAGATAGAGAAATGGCTCCTGTGGCATCTCCCCACAGCCCGATGACCCCCAGTCACCTCGTTCGCCCGCCTCCTCCGCTAACTTCATCTACTCCCTCCCCTCTCTACGCCCGCAGTTCGGTGAACTTCGAGGCTATGAGCGCAGGAAGTCAGGGACATTTAAAGCAAAGCTGATGTTGCGGCCAAAAGACTATGGAATGTGCCGACGAGCCCTTGCCAGCATCCCTGGGCTCTCGAAAAGGGGCAACGTCCTGACCTCGGCCGTGGTGGACTTGGCCACTCTCAGGCTGTCCAGCCAGGGTCTCCAGGCTCTCCCGGGCAGGAGGCAGGGGAGAGGAAGGCTGGCACCAGTGAGAGGGCGCCCGCCTCGCCCACCCCAGCTCCCCGGGCAACGCCCCGCCACCGGCGCTCACCGAAAACCAGGATGTTCTTGCCGGACGGCAGCTTGGACCTGGCGCGGGTGGACACCTCGCTCAGGATCGAGGACCTGTGGGGACAATGGCACAGCGGTCGGCCCTGGGGCCAGCCTGAACCTGACTGGCCCGCGACGGCCCGTTAAGTCTGTCCGACGGTCCGGCCCGGCCCGGCCAGCCCAGCCCGGCCGCCTCGCGGTCTCACCATAGGCTCTGGCCCTCCTCCTCCTCAGTGGTCAGGTCGCCGGCGGCCGCCACCGCGGGCCCGTTAGGGCCCAGCAGCAGCTTCTTCTCCACCCCCACCGGCGCCATCTTGCCAACTGCAGCCACAAAGAGGGCCCTCCCCCGGGCCCGCCGAGGACCCGCGAGGACCCCGCCGGCCCGCCCGCGCCTGCCGCGCCCCCAGCCGCCCGCCCCGCAGGGTCCGCGCCGCCCGCCGCGCTCCGCCGGGCTTGCGATGTCCGCGGCTCCCGCAGGGTCTTGAGGCCAACGCGGTGGCGGGAGGTGGGCGGCGGTCAGGCGGCCGCCGGGGCAGCCCTGCTCGGGGAGGCGGCGGCGCGAGCGGGAGCCACCCGGGTGGAGGGCGCGCTAGCGGCCTCTGCCGGCCGAGGGGCGCAAAGACACCCGTTCCCGGTCCTCCGTCAGCTGGCCGCTCCAGCTGCGCCGTCTGGGGCCGAGGCACCCGACGGACTGAAGCGAAAAGCTCAGGCCTTGGGATGAGATCAGTACAGGATATCTCACTAAATCTTGTCTAACTCTTTTACGGGTGAGGAACTTGAAGCTCATAAATCTTGAGAAACCTGACCAAGGATCCAGTGCTTTCTGGCTATCTTCTGATAGCATCCCGGTACTTCCAATTTTACCGATCTTAACCTGTTCTATCATGAACTTTGCTTAATCCTAATCGAACCACGAATTGAAAGACCGGCCTTAAACTAGACCCCCAAATCCTCACAAATATCCTGCTTTTCACCTCCTCCTTCCTTGACCCTATTAAGACCACGAGGTAGTGATCTTTACTGTAGTGAGTAATTCGCTTGATTTTACGTATAAACAGGTGTTTGGTTTTTCTTAATGATATTTTCTGGGAGCCAGCATTTGACACCAGAAATAGGAGGCTTTAATTTCCTTTCTTCAGGAAAAAAGAAAGAAAAAGAGAAAGAAAGGAAGGAAGGAAGGGAGGAAGGAAGGAAGGAAAAAAGAGATATGAAGGGGGAAGGGAGGGGAGAGAAGGGGAAGGAAGAGGGTATTGGAAGAAAAGGAAGGAAAAAATACATTTCACCTATCGAGTTTCACTTTAGGTCTGGCCGCTACCTGAGGGCTCTTGCTAGCCTCTGCGGAAGCAGAGGCATTTTACAAGGCATTTCTAAATATCACAAGAAAGTAGGATATGTCAGAAAAGCAACCATGTATGTGGGATGCAGATGAGTAGGATTCTGATCCTGACTCTGCCAGAATTTTGGCAGCATGAATTATGGCAGATCCAACAAATGGGCATATCATCTGCCAACCTGAATATAAGGTTCAAACAAGACAATGGGAGTGAAAACCTATTAAGAATTATACCCTGGAAATCTAGGAAGAGCAGGAAAAGTGCTCTAAGTCATAAAAAGGTAAGCAGTGTCTGAATTTTCACAGGACAAAAGATGGAGTTGAAAACTACAGGCTAGTGAACTTCATCAGCCCTAGGTGAAATTCTCTAATGTGACCAGTTGGAAAAGGAAAAGACAGCACCAGATTTACACAGTTTCTATTTTGCAGGAATAGCAGGTAGGAGGATGCTGCAGACCTTGAAAATTCAGATTTCAACGGGGCATTTGCCGATGCACATCATAGACAAGAAAGTGAAATGTAGGCTGGATGATAGTGTTGAGGCTTGTTAAAGACCAGGCCCAGAGGGGGCTGATGAGGAAGGACCACCAGAGGAGGCTGCTAGGGACCCGGCCCAATCTCCTGCTCTGACCCAGCCAATTCAGGGTGCCATCCATGACCTGGATGAGAATGCAGCAGCACACTCACAGAAGCTGTGGATGACCTGAAGCAGGAAGGGAGGCCTAACACACTGGATGACAAACTGAGTACAAACTAATTCTAACAAGATTAAATTTAACAGGGGCCACTGAAGTCCTGTAGTGGAGTTAAAAATAAATGTGTAAGAACAAGATAGAAATTAATAAAAATTATAAGTCTTAACTATATCAACTATAATCGGAGAGTTGGTCATGTAGAATGCCAAGAAGTATCTTAGGTAAGGTCCATAAAACCTCTTTGGTCCTAGCAAAGAAGTTGATCCCCCTACTCTGCCAGTCAGGCCACGTTTCTTTCTGGACACAGTTTATAAACAAAAAGGTACCCAGCGGTCAGTGACTACGCTCATAAGGGGACATGACACTGTTCAGCTGAAACAGGAAGTAGCTGGGGCTCATCAGCATGAAGGATAAAGGATGTAGAGGAGAAAGTGATAGATATCTATCTGTAACTCTCTCAAGGGCTGGTATGTGGAAAAGAGATTCAACTTTTGTGGTTCTGCAGGAGGTACTCCAGAAAAGTATATTTCATTTTAGCATAATGAAGAACTGACCATCAATTATCACCCTGTGAAACAGTAAATTCCAGGTTTCTGAGGATATATGCAAAACTAAAGTTAGCCAATGTCCAGATCGTTGTACAGCAGTTTATGCCTCCGGCAGGGAACTATAACTGAGGTCAGCCCCAACTCCAAGGGTCTGACATTATTGCAATCCCTTTTTATTCCCTGTTGAATTGGCCAGGTCTGAGTCCCTAAAGTCAAACAGTCCTCTAATATGTGATCATTCTTTGGCTTTCCTTTTGATGTGTATTCACTTACTTTACTACCAAATTCTATTTGAGGGAAAAAAGCAGTTCACATTAACCAAAAGTTAGCCAAGGGTTAGGATAAAATTTCAAGGTTTCAGAAGGCAGTATAGGTTATTTTAAATATAGTGTCAGTGACTGACACAAAACAGTGTCCCAGCTACAGTATGTCATACTCTTGGGGATGCTCTGTAAGTAGTATTTGATTTCCTGTTACATAGATAATTTCCAATCAATCAAAAAAAAAAAACTATTGCCAGTAAGGCTGAGGCAACAGACAAAATATTTTCCCCTTTGACCTAAAACAACATTCATACATCTTGAGAAATATACATCAAAATAACCCAGCAGACCATTTAAATCATCCCCATAGTGCTTAGGAAATACTGACAGATAATGGACTAGAGTCATTCACACTTTAAATGATACAAAGAATTTTCCTAATTGTAAATTATTCTCAAGCTTAAAATTTTTCTGCTTATTAAACCTCTGGAATTTTCATTGTGGATCAGAATAAAAGATATTTAATAAAAATTCTGCTTTATCTAAGTAAACATGGTCATGATCTGAAAGGGTGAAAGAATACATGCTTATAGGGAAATACCCTTTCGTATTTATATGAATGACATGAAGCAGTGACCCAATGAGTACATAAGCACAACTGAGCTTTCATGCCCTGATACTTGATCACTTTGCCATAGCAACAGCATTTTAGGTATAATGGAGGATGCATCAGCATGATGGAATATAAAAAGAGTAAGAAAAATAGAAGTTTGAGATCTAATAGTTTGGTTTCCAACTAGAAGAAAACTAACTTAAAAGCAAACAATAAAAAGTTGTTTTAAACAATTTTTGTTGTTGTTGTTATTGTTGTTGCTTTGGCCGTGCTGCGAGGCATGTGGGATCTTAGTTCCCTGACCGGGGATCAAACCCATGTCCCCTGCATTGGAAGTGTGGAGTCTTAACCACTGGATCACCAGGGAAATCCAAAAGTGTATTTGTTTTATAAATTATTTTAATAGTTTGATGAGCTACAGCATCACAAAAAGTAATTAAAACAGTATCCCCATTGCCACATTTCCTGCCTCATAAGAGTTTATAAGAATATTTTAAATTTTGTATTTTCAACACACTGTTTTTTAAGATATCAAACTAAAAACTGACAAGTCTTCCAATCAAGGAGCCACACACTTGGGGCGTTTGGTCAGCTTGTGGTATTTGTGAGCAAGGTCCACAGCCTTCCGTCCTTGCTGAAAGGGGAAAGACCACAAAATTAAATTCCAGTGATTTCCCATTTTCTTAACTCCACTGAAAAGGTAATTTACTTCTTCTTCAGTAAAGTTTTTACGAATTCTTCTTTTTTCTGCAATTAATGAGAATTGTAGAATACATTAGTACTTGCTGAAAAAAGAGTTCTTGAGACCCAAATAAATGCTTAACTTATTCTAAGGATATGGATTACACAGTGAGAAAAATTCATGCCTGGACTACTATCATTTAGAAATCCACTTCAATTAAAACAAAACAAAACTGAGTGCTTACTATTAAACTAGATGCTATCACTGTGATCTCTTCAATAATTGTAACAATCCTATTGCGATAATATTCTCAAAATCCTTCAATCAAGAAACACAAAATTTTATAAACATTTGATTGTTAATTCTCTCAACATTCCTGTGAGGACAGTTAACAAACAGCTTACCTATCTTACAGATACAGTCTTCCCAAAGGGCTCCATAACTTCATAGAATAGAATCCGCGTCCCCTGCGTTGGAAGGTGGATTCTTAACCACCGGACCACCGGGGAAGTCCCTTAAGCTTTTTAATTCACTGTTAATGCACATTATCATTGTGGGTAGATGCAGATGAGGAAGAGTTTTTGTATTTCCAATTAAGTCTGTTATTTACTTTAGTAGGACCTTGAATAGCTATGCTGGGACATCCTTCGAAAATCTTGCCTTTGCATGTCATGACTGTTAGTCCATCTCTCCTCAGATAGGAGCCATAGTTCAGATCTTTTAAAGCAGGAGGGAAAAATCTTACCAGCAGAAGGCCAAGAAATCAATGAAAATAATGTCTAAATATTACTTAATGGTATTCCTTAGAATGCAGGCTCCATGAAGACTGGGATTTTTGTCTGTTTTACTCCCCATGTGTCCCCAGTGCCTAAGACAGTGTCTGACACATAGTAGGTGATCAATAAATATTTGTTGATGGAAAAATGTTACTACCAGTAAAAACTTTTAAAACTTATCAATGAAGTTAATTCTTACTTGGGTCTACTGGAAAACTGTGGTTATCCGAGAAACATGATTTCAACTTCACTTGCTAAATGATTTGAACTCATTATAATCAGGACCAGATGGGTTATTATAACATTCAAGATATTGGGTCCTGGGGGTGTTCATGTAGAGCCAATCCCCACTTTTCCCCTGCAGTTGCCATCTCACTGACTTCTACACTTAAATTAGCATCTGTGCCAAATACCTCAATGGTTACCACAGCAGCATAGTTGACAGACTAGAAGAAGGAAACAGCTCTCTACACCACAAGACTCTCTTCTGTGACTTCTTTAGTGCTCCTCCTAATACTGACTGGGCATTAGAAAAAAGCAGGGAAAAATAGGCAAGAGGGCTCAGTCCTAGAGACTCTTGTTTTTCAAACCCTCTCAAGATATCAATCCATCCTAAAAGAGAGCCTTGCCCCCAAGGCTCTTTAAATACTTAGATACTGCAAATGGTCCCTTCTCAAAAGAAGAGTCTCAAATTTGAGTGTAACCTATAACCAAATGAAAGGTGATGAATGTCTCTAGTATGAAAGGGAAATTTATTAAGAGGGGGAAAAATGGCAGTACATCAAATATTCCTGGCCTGCTTGTAAAAGAGATATAAGACCAATCTAATCACTACCTCCTCAAGATGCCTTTCTAAATTTGAAAAAAGCAGGCCAACTTATTAACTATTGGATTTTAGCTAAGCAACTCGAACCTACAAAAAAGATGTAGGTATTTACGAGCTGAAAGTGACTTAAAAATATTTAGGATCCCTCTGTATAATCAATATATAACCATAATTATGTATATTTCATGATGCTCTGCAAATGATTTTACTATGAAAAATGATTATAGAATACTTTTAGTTGTTATATATTTGCTTTTAAGACATGCTGCTCAAGAAATTCTATTATTGGGCTTCCCTGGTGGCGCAGTGGTTGACAGTCGCCTGCCGATGCAGGGGACATGGGTTTGTGCCCCGGTCTGGGAAGATCCCACGTGTTGCGGAGCGTCTGGGCCCATGAGCCATGGCCACTGAGCCTGCGCGTCCGGAGCACCTGTGCTCCGCAACGGGAGAGGCCACAACAGTGAGAGGCCCGTGTACTGCAAAAAAAAAAAAAAAGAAAAAAAAAAAAAAGAAATTCTATTATTTGATGCCAACTCCTTGTCAAAAAGATTTCCAACTGCAACGTCTCTATGGAAAAATACCCATTTTCTAACAGTTTCTACAGAAAATATTACTTCAAAAAGTGGGCTACCCTGTAGTGGTACTGCGCTTAATTTTAATTTGTATGCAGAAATTTTAACCTAGAAAAAGACCTAGTTATAAAAAGTGAATTTGAAATTTCTTTCAAGGTTTTGGCAGTGAAAATGGCCAAACAAAAGTATGTGGCAAAATGTTTCCTGGATGGATCAAGTCCAAATGTCTTCACAATAAATAACTGAATGGCTCTACAGATATTACTAATTTCAAGGTGACTTTGACAAGGAGTGTACTCAACTGCTTAGTCTTACTCTGCACATACTAATTCCATATGAACAGAAGATAATGGTAATGTTCTTTAAGTCTTGTGATAAATTTGAAATGGTGATTAACCCTGTAGTTAAAGAAAAACTCCTGTAAATTAACTCATAGTTTAGAAATATTTTAATTTTTAAACAGGGCTCTAAGGTTTATACTATTTGTCTCTTCAATTTTGATTGTTCAAAGTGCTACAGATGTGAACCAAAATCTTCCACAAAATTTGTCTGAAGCACTTGTGCATAGAATAATTTTGCTCTTAAAACAGAAAAGTGATCCGGAGGATAGAAAAGGGGATTCTGGAGAAAGACAGGCTTGCATTTGAATCTAAGTTCTGCCATTTGCCAACTCATTGGCAAATTTCAGCTATTTTCCTACTGCTATGCAACCTAAAAGAAAACAAATTAAAGTGGGAATAAAATAATACCTTATCTTACAATGTTATTATAACAAATAAAGCAAATAACATGTATAAAACACCTAACACATAGGAGGTTCTTAATAAATGTTAGTTTTCTCCTGCCCCTTCCCCAGACGGAAAGTAATAGATGAGCAAGCAACATGAAAAAGGGAAGAGGGAAGCCTCTTTTGTCAGGAAGTATGACCCTCATCAGAAGCAAGGGTTATCATTTAAAAGCCATTAATGATGTGACTGAGAACAATCATTCAGCTGTTCTTTTTCAGGAATATATTAAATTTATATTTATTTAAAAATTAAATATATTCACTTATTCCTCCAGGGGTAGTAGATTCATTATTGAGTTTTCCTCTTCTACGTGGGGTCAGCAGAATTTCTGAAAAATACAGAAAACATTTAGTGTACTTAGAGTATCAATCTGAGTAGTATCACATCAATTCCATTAGTATGATATTCCCTTTTTCCCTCTTTTAATGGGAATCCTTAGGTGGATTAGGAAGAATTTTTAAATTACTAGAGACTAAACCTACTCCCTGGGAACATTTTAAATCACAGTTGCTCAGAGACAGATTTTCTTTTTTTTTTTTAATTAATTAATTAATTTATTTTTGGCTATGTTGGGTCTTCGTTTCTGTGTGAGGGCTTTCTCTAGTTGTGGCGAGCGGGGGCTACTCTTCATCGCCGTGCGCGGGCCTCTCACTATCGTGGCCTCGCGGCCTCTCTTGTTGTGGAGCACAGGCTCCAGACGCGCAGGCTCAGTAATTGTTGGGCCTGGTTGCTCCGCGGCATGTGGGATCTTCCCAGGCCAGAGCTCAAACCTGTGTCCCCTGCATTGGCAGGCAGATTCTCAGCCACTGCGCCACCAGGGAAGCCCCAGATTTTCTTTTCAACATTATTTTACCCTTTATCTTTTAATATACTTAATGTTCTAGATCATAGTTCAGAAGGTATGGTTATAATTACAGTTTTGGGTTTTTTTTTAACATCTTTATTGGAGTATAATTGCTTTACATTGTTGTGTTAGTTGTTGCTGTATAACAAAGTGAATCAGCTATACATATACATATATCCCCATATCTCCTCCCTCTTGCGTCTCCCTCCCATCTTCCCTATCCCACTCCTCTAGGTGGTCACAAAGTACCGAGCTGATCTCCCTGTGCTATGCAGCTGCTTCCCACTAGCTATCTATTTTACATTTGGTAGTGTATATATGTCCATGCCGCTTGCTCACTTCATTCCAGCTTACCCTTCCCCCTCCCCGTGTCCTCAACTGCATTCTCTATGTCTGCGTCTTTATTCCTGTCCTGCCCCTAGGTTCCTCAGAACCATTTTTTTTTTTTTAGATTCTATATACATGTGTGTTAGCATATGGTATTTGTTTTTCTCTCTCACTTACTATAATTACAGTTTTAAAATTGCTGAATTAATTACTTTTGTTACAGATAAGTGATTTCCTTAGTCCATTTTTATATCTGTCTTCAGCTTCCACAATGACTTTGTGACGATCACATTGGTATGGGCAAGAGTGTAAGAGCTTGCTAAAGGTTCGGCTATTCAGGGATTTTCCTACTGCTATGCAACCTAAAAGAAAACAAATTTAAGTGATGTATAGATGTTACAAAAAATCTAATAACAAATTTATGAAAGCAAATATCTTTATGATGGTAACTGAAGTGAAATCAGCAACTTAATTATAAATACATCAAGAAACTCCAAGTCATGTCATGTGAGAGAGTAAAGACACCAAATATAATACAGTGAAATAAGTGTTGCCATAGTGGTGTGAACAGAGTTATGGTGATATAGAAAAGCAGCATCTACCTTGGCCTAATTCTGAGCAGGAGTCACTATCAGGGAAGATATCCAAAGGAAGTGACCCTTATGCCCAGTCGTCTTTTTTTTCTTCTTCTTTTTTTTAATGTTTTACTATGGAACATTTCAAACACACGAGAATAAAGAGAAAAGTATAATTACCCACCACGTATCCATCATCCAGCTTCAACAATTATTAACTCATGGTCTGTCATATTTTATCTTCCCCCACCTACTCAGCTCTGCCCCCCATGTACACACTGGATTATGAAGGCTGCAATTTGCATTCTAGTATCATTTCATCTGTAAATACTTCATATGCATTCTTAACAGATAAGAACTCTTTTTAAAAAAAAACCACTTACTTTGTTTTATTTTTTTAATGGCAAAACCACTATCACACCTAAGAAAATTATGCTTAATATCATCTAATATCCAGTCAGTGTTCAAATTTCCCCATCATTTCAAAACTTTCTCTTTACAGTTGGTTTATTTGAATCATGATCCAAACAAGGTCCACCATTACATTCAGCTGGTATGTCTCTTGAGTTTCTTTTAATCTACCAATTCTCCTCTCTTCCTCTTTGTCATTTACTTGTTGTAGACCCTGGGTCATTTGTAATGTGCAGTTTCCCAAAGGCTGAGTTTTGCTGATTACATCCTAGCTGCATCCTTTAAAATATTCCTGTGTGCCCAAGAAACTTGTAATTAGATCTAGATGATTGATCAGATTCAGGTTCAATTGTTTTTTTGTGTGTTTTTGTTTTTTTGCTTTTTCGATACACGAGCCTCTCACTGTTGTGGCCTCTCCCGTTGCGGAGCACAGGCTCCGGACGCGCAGCCTCAGCAGCCATGGCTCACGGGCCCAGCCGCTCCGCGGCATGTGGGATCTTCCCCGACCAGGGCACGAACTCGTGTCCCCTGCATCGGCAGGCGGACTCTCAACCACTGCGCCACCAGGGAAGCCCAAGTTCAATTGTTTTTAGTAGAACTCCTCACAGGTAGTATTGTGTACTTCTTACTGCATCACATTAACAGGAACATAAAGTTTGACTATCTCTCTTTTTATATTAAGATTGATCAGTAGGTTCAGGTAATGTTAGCCACATCCATCCATTATAAAGTTCTCTATCCACCTGTCACCTACAGGAAAAGTTAGCCAGGCAGAAAGTTGGCAAGGACGAGGACATTTCAAGTACAAAGAACACGTCAAAAGCACAGAAGAGTAAAAAAGCATAGTATGTTCAGAGAATCACAGTACTATGTGTGGCTGGAGTATAAGGTATGAGAGAACTGTGGGAGAAAAGTTGAGGTTGGTAAGGGTTGCAAGGGGCCAGGTCAAAAACGGTCTTGAAAGTCATCTTAAGGATTTTTAACTACTATCTTCAAGTCAATGGGAAGAACTGATGGATATTTATTAAGCAGGGAAATGACAAGATTTGTCTACAGAAAGCTCAACTGAAGGTAAGAGGATCAGTTGAGGGGTAACTTAAACAGTCCAGATAAATAAGGAGATTCTGAAACACAGCATTTGCAGGGAGAATGCAGAGATTTCTGAGGTAAAATTGGTGAATAATGAGCTGTCGGGGTAAGGGAGACATTTAGGACAATTCGATTGTAATGGATCGAATGGCAAAGTTTGGAATAAGCATGGCACATTTCTGGTGGACTTAAACAGAACAAATTGCAGTAAAATTTAACAAGTGGAAGCAGGACAAAATTCCACACAATTCTGAAAGCCAGGCAGAGAGTTTGATTTAGCGAGTTACAGAGAAGCGCTGAGGGTTATTTAGCATGGTGACATGATACAAAGCACATATGAGGAAGAGAAGTTAATAGCAATACACGTTACTTGGGGGTTGGTGAGACTTGAGACTGAAAGACTGCTAGTAATTTAGGCATGAAGGAAAAGGGGCCTGTGTGGGAAAGAAAGAAAGAACCAAATATGATAGACTAGAAATAGGGGATGTAAGGAGAAAAGATAGTTATAGATGATTCAAGGTTTGAAATCTGGGGGGCCAGAAGAATAATGGCAACACTAATAAAAATGGAGTGGCTGGAGGGGGGGCAGTTTAAGAGGGAGAAAGATGTTTTGTTTTGAATACATTAAGCTTGAAATAACAAAATATTAAAGTGAGTATGTCCTAGGTACAGCTGGATATGGAAGAATGAGGCTATAACCCGAAGTAGAAGTGAAGTGTGGAGATACAGATTTGAAAATCATTGGTAAAATGATAGATGATGCTAGCTGCATCTATGATGCTGCAGCAGAGTTGAGTAAGTGCTGTAGACTATATATTGGGGGGAGTATCTGTAGAAATTTGGCAGGAAGATAAGATAAAAGAATAAAGGTAATAAAACGGAGAGCTTTATAGACTGTAAACTTCCTGAAGTGAGGACTGAGTTCTATTCATCTCTGATTCCAGTGCCTGCTGCAGAATAAGCACTCCCTAAGTGTCTGCAAAATGAATGGTCACTGAGGGAGCAAAGCAACTAGGAAGGAACTATCTCAAACAAACTAAGGGATGAAAGGGAGTTAACAGTTATAGAGCATCCATTCTACGAACTGGAATATTTTTGACCAGAGGTTCCCAACTGTCTCACTCTGGGGCATCTTTAAGAGCTTGGTGATTGGGACTTCCCTGGTGGTGCAGTGCTTAAGAATCCACCTGCCAATGAAGAAGATACGGGTTCGATCCCTGGTCCAGGAAGATCCCACATGCTGCGGAGCAACTAAGCCTGTGCACCACAACTACTGAGCCCACATGCCGCAACTACTGAAGCCCCTGCACCTAGAGCGCGTGCTCTGCAGCAAGAGAAGCCCGCGCACTGCAACAAAGGGTAGCCCCCACTCACTGCAACTAGAGAAAGCCCGCGTGCAACAATGAAGACCCAACACAGCCAAAAAAAAAATTAAAAAAAAAAGATCTTGGTGATTTTTTCACAGCACCCTTAGGCCAAAAGAAATACCAAATGTTCTGTTAGGTCCAAAACAACTCAATACGTATTTATGTTCTAACAACTTGGTAGCCATTTAAAAAAATAATAGACCTAAATTTGAAATATATATATATATTTGTATTTCATTCTTATTAATTACGATTACTTCCTAATGGGATTTGTGCAACAATTGGGTACAGCACAAGTTCTCAAAACTTGTAATCAGACTGGACACTGCCACCCTCATTTCCTGTTCCACAGATTTTCACGTGGTGCTTGCTTTTTAAAAATCACAACAACTGGGACTTCCCTGGTGGTGCAATGGTTAAGAATCCGCCTGCCAATGCAGGGGACACGGGTTCGAACCCTGGTCTGGGAAGATCCCACATGCCACAGAGCAACTAAGCCCGTGCACCACAACTACTGAGCCTGTGCTCTAGAGCCCGCGTGTCACAACTACTGATGCCCACAATGAGAAGCCACCGCAGTAAGAAGCCTGCACACCACAACGAAGAGTAGCCCCCGCTCGCCACAACTAGAGAAAGCCTGCGTGCAGCAACAAAGACCCAACACAGCCAAAAATAAATAAATAAATAAATAAATTAATTAAAAAATCACAACAACCACTGAAAACCCAGCTTCACAAAGATGTGACATCATCAAAAGAGATGTAGTACAATCTAATGGTGAAACTGTGAACTACTTTGAGCTAGTAGTTTACGTGGTGTCCAGAAGATGTTGACCATTTTGTGTTTCACTTACAAAATTTTAAATATTGTGTAGTGCCCTTGTGAGTTCACTGCAGAGCCCCAGGGAGCTCGGGTGGACAGTTTGGGAACTATGGTTTTCAAACGAGAGGAGAGGATTTCAAGGAATGGTAGTTGACAGTGCAGAAATACTAAAGACAATAAGAATCTTTTAAAAAGTCATTGGTTTGGGGGTTAAAAAAGAGGTTTCAGGTAACCTTTAACATTAAAGTTTAGTAGAATGGCAATAAAAGAAGCTAGACTGCAGGCAGTTAAGAAGGGAAAGAATACGCTGAAAGAGAAGGGAACAAGAGCAGGAATCTGGTAATAGATGGTGGAAGAAAGAACAGATGAATACTTGAAGGGACAGCAAATCACACAAAGTATTTGGGTATTTTTTAAGATGAGGAGAAATGAACATAGTTTAAGGTGGGACAAATGGAGGTAACGAATGGAAAGGGACTAAAGAGAAAGCCTACACAAGTATTATTATAAAATGGGGAGAAAACATAGATGGGATTTGGATTATAGCTAGATATTAGTTTTAGAGTAAAAGAGATAAACCCTTCATCTAAGACAGAAGAATAGTAATATTTTGAGCCTAGTGTGGAATAGCCTCAGTTTTCTCCAAAGAGCAGGGTGCAACAGTAAGAGTAAACGAAGAGCAAATACTGGGATATGAAGGAGAAGAAGGGAGGGAATAAGCACTGTGGAATTCTGGATTATTTATAATCCAGAACATATACCTATTTATTGGCTCTCTGAAAATATAAAAAATGTTTACCTTACTCAGTAAAGTTAAACTTATAGATGGTGACAGAAAGAGAATAATAAAGTAATTTTTTAAGAGTATTAGCTGCTGAACCGGCTTGCAGGGCAGAAATTGAGACACAGATGTAGAGAACAAACGTATGGACACGAAGGGGGAAAGCGCTGGAGGGGGGTGGTGGTGCTGTGATGAACTGGGAGATTGGGATTGACATATATATACTAATATGTATAAAATGGATAACTAATAAGAACCTGCTGTATAAAAAAATAAATAAAATAAAATTCAAAAAAAGAAAAAAGAGTATTAGCTGCATTGATTCATATGAGCAAATACTGGGAACACAGACTAATGCAGATAGAAGGTATTAATTCGAGTGTTTTATGAGACCCCAGATTGTTATTTCTCCAAAGGGAATGAACTTTAAATCACACAGGTAGAACTATTACAAATTCTAGTTAATTAACATCATATAAAGCTTTAATTATGAAACAACTACAATTAAAAAAATATTTACCTGAGCATCTATACTTCAATATTTTGGAACAATTTTCTGTTGCTAGAAAACCAATGACTTCTTTATTTATTATATCTGAACATAATGTCAATGGATCTGGGGAAAAAAATTGCAAAATGAAAGATATTTTTGATTAGTGAAAAGGACCTGACATTTATAAGATTTATTAATTCTCAAGAGTTTCATAAACTGTAGCCCAGTACTCCACTTCCAGTCATCCTAGTGGATATACGGAAAGGATATCAATAAAAGGTGACTAAGGCATTTAGACCAGAAAGAGAGTCAAAGGCATGGCTTATATGTTAGAGGGAAGATATTACTTTTAGCTATATTAATCACCTAAATATGTTTTCTTGAACAATCAAAGAAGAAACATTTTTAGTCATACCTGTTACTGGTAACTGTTGCTTTGTGTTTTTGCCAATAGGAGTTGGATGTTTAAAAATATGGTCGCTAAAAGAAAATAGACACCAGATTAATAAAAGTAAACATATTGTTTGGTATGTGAACAAATCTTTCCATAAGCAGTAGTGTGATTCTGATGTTTGACAGGCAGAAAGAGCTGGAGTCAGGATCTACCAAAATCTACCAAATTCTGCCAAAGTATGGTATGCAATGGTTATAGCCTTGTTTCTAAAAGTGGAGTTAACTACTATATATAATAAAAAATAGATAAACAATAAGGACCTATAGTATAGAACAGGGAACTTTATTCAATATCTTGTAATAATGTATAATGGAAAAGAATCTGATAAAGTATATATGTGTGTGTGTGTGTGTGTGTGTGTGTGTATATAACTGAATCACTTTGCTGTACACCTGAAACATTGTAAATCAACTCTACTTCAATTAAAAAAAAAAAAAAGTGGAGTTAAACAAGACTCCAGAGGTCAATAATACTGATGCCAGCAGAAACATGGAAAAAAAAGTTATAAAAGAGGAAAACAGGAAGGAAGGAGAGCAAAAAAGAGGAAATAACAAATTCATTGGGCCAGAGGGCAAGAAGGTTGGCCCAAGAGCATATCCCACTACTTCCCAATTCTATATCCCTGAGAAATCGGGTTAAAATTACATGAAGAATGGTTTTGAAAAGGAAAAAGGGGGTGTGATGATGTAATCCATCTGTCTAACACTTAGTTTACCCTGCAGCCTCCCCAGAACATAGCACCATTCTCTTCAGTTTCCCTCCTAGCCCAATAACTATCAGAAGAGCAGAACACAAGAAAGGCTTTAGGAAGAAAAGCTGCAATTCCAGGTCCAGCCCCACAGGCTACCCATGAGCAAGAAAGGACATACACTGGAGGTGAGGTACAGGGAACAAATGAAAAGACAAGCCTAAACCAGATTTTCATCACTCCTTACTCCCTTTTATCAAGTTAAACTTACAAACTGGCTTTTGCTAAATTACTGATGGATTATCAATACGTGCATTGTTATTTCAGCTACAGAGGTTCAGTTTAAGTTTTCTGAGTATCCCTTCTAAAATTCAAATCTGATCGTGCCACTCAATTTAAAATCGTCAGCGGCTCCCTATACTCTATAAGTTATAACAGAAAATCTTAAGTAGTATTACATGCAAGGCCCTAGATAAACTGGCCCATACTGGCCCATCCAAACTCCTTTCCCAACATTTCCTACATTAGGCTCCTCCTAAAACCATGCTTATCATTTCTATATCCCAGTGTTTAAGAGTATGGCACATAGTACTACACACACACACACAAATGCTGAATAAATAAAAGTTAGAAACAATTATTAAACTATACCTTGATTGAGAAACAAAATTCTTTTTTTCAAAGGTTGTTTCTTCACGTAAGTTTTGATTGCAGCTTGAATTGGCTTTACATAAAGTCTTATTTTGCTCACTCTCCCTATAACAAGCATTAACTGGATTTGCACTCTTTAACAGGGTCTTCATTTGATCATCATTTGTACATGCTTTGGACATGACTTCATGGGACTTATAACTCTGAAGCTTTCTAGACTGGCTTTTATCCCTATCTTCTGCTTTGGAACCTCCACCACTGCTATCTGCATGGAGGTGTTTCAATGTATTTTGAATATTTATGTTCATAGATGAAACATAATCCTTATATTTTTCTCTTTGTACTCTTTCCTGTAATGTAAAAATAAGTAAATAATTTCAAAATAATCATTTGCTTTATAATTCAATTTACACTCCCTTTAAATAATGCAGAAAAAGTTTATGATTGTCAATAGAATATACATTATAAAGGGGGTAGTTTACATTAGGAAGGAAGGGGAGAATATTCTTTAAATGATTTGGGGACATTGGGTAGTCAACTTGGGAAAAAGATAAACTGAATACATATCTCACAATTTACACAAAAATAAAGTAAAAATTAACTAAATATTTAAATATAAAAAAATGAAATTATATATGTTCTAAAAGAAACCATGATGTTTTAATATTCTCAATGGGAGGAATACCTTTCCAAGTATTACAAAAAAATCAATAAATCATAAAAGAAAAACCTATACTTTACCACATAAAAATTTTTTTTAAGTTCTGCTAGAGATGAAGAATATTGGGGGGTGGGGACCCAGAGGAAAAAAGGGCCAAAAGCAAAATCAAATACAAATCAAAACAGCTAGAAAGAATATGTATGTCATATCTTGAGTTACAGTAGAATTTTTCTAGTAACATTTATAAAAAGCTACTACAATGAACTATGAAAAAGATCAGTAACAGTGTAGAAACATAGGAAAGGAGATGAACAGTTCACAAGAAAGGAAATATAAATAAATAGCTCTTACACATATGAAAAATGCTCCATCTCACTTTAATAAGAGAAATAAACATTAAAGGTAAATGAGATATCTTTCTTTATTTTTTTTACATTTTGGCCCCACCGCACAGCATGTGGGATCTTAGTTCCCCGACCAGGGATCGAACCCGCGCCCCCTGCATTGGAAGTTCGGAGTCTTAACCACTGGACTGCCAGGGAAGTGCCATAGACATCTTTTTTTTCTTTTTTTTGCGATACGCGGGCTTCTCACTGTTGTGGCTTCTCCCGTTGCGGAGCACAGGCTCCGGATGCGCAGGCTCAGAGGCCATGGCTCACGGGCCCAGCCGCTCCGTGACATGCGGGATCTTCCCGGACCGGGGCACAAACCCGTGTCCCTTGCATCAGCAAGCAGACTCTCAACCACTGTACCACCAGGGAAGTCCCTAGACATCTTTCTTCATCTATGACATTGGCAAAGACCAAAAGGGTATAGGGAAACATTCTGTACATTATGGGGGAGAGTGTAAACTGGTACACCTCTATGGAGAAACAATTTGACAGTATCTTTCATAATAAAAACTGTGGGACTTCCCTGGTGGCACAGTGGTTAAGAATCCGCCTGCCAATGCAGGGGACACCGGTTTGATCCCTGGTCTGAGAAGATCTCACATGCCACGGAGCAACTAAGCCTGTGTGCCACAACTATTGAGCCTGAGCTCTAGAGCCCATGAGCCACAACTACTGAAGTCCGTGCGTTCTAGGGCCCACGTACCGTAACTACTAAGCCCACGTGCTACAACTACTGAAGCCCGCGCACCTAGAGCCTGTGCTCCGCAACAAGAGAAACCACCAAAATGAGAAGCCCACGCACTGCAACGAAGAGTAGCCCCCGCTGGCCACAACTAGAGCGAGAAAAGCCCAAGTGCAGCAACGAAGACCCAACGCAGCACAAAACAAACAAACAAAAACATTGTGTATATCTTTTAAAAAAATCCTATAGATATACTTTTACATGTGCAAAATGTTAATGTTATTAACTGCAGTATGGTTTGTAATAGCTAAAAGTTGGAATCTGAAAGTTCATCTCAAGGGGAACTAGCATATCCATCAGTGGAATACTCTGCAATTGTAAGATATATAGGTAGACAGATAGATAGATAGGACTTCCAGGTAAAGATGATGACTTTAACACCCATATTTATTTTCGTTCCTTCCAAAAAAACAATTAGAACAACAGTTCTTAAAAAGGCATAGGTGGACTTCCCTGGTGGCGCAGCAACAAAGACCCAACACAGCTAAAAATAAATAAATAAACAAATTTATTAAAATAAATAAATAAAAAATAAAAAGGCATAGGGATTTCCCTGGTGGCACAGTGGTTAAGAATCTGCCTGCCAATGCAGGGGACACGGGTTTGATCCCTGATCCGGGAAGATCCCACACACCGCGGAGCAACTAAGCCCATGTGCCACAACTACTGAGGCTGCGCTCTAGAGCCCGCAAGCCACAACTACTGAGCCCGCGTGCACCTAGAGCCCGTGCTCTGTGACAAGAGAAGCCACCGCAATGAGAAGCCCACGCACCGTAATGAAGAGTAGCTCCCACCTGCCGCAACTAGAGAAAAGTCCTTGTGCAGCAATGAAGACCCAACGCAGTCAAAAAAAAAAAAAAAAAAAAAGGCATAAACCCACAAGGAGAAGCATAAATTCCACAAGGAAAAATGGAAGAAGATACAAATGCAACAAAATTTTGGAATTGGAAAGCAGATAGGTGAATGACAGCCTATTTAGCAGACTTGATAAAGTTGAATTTAAATAAATGAAGCAGGGCTTCCCTGGTGGCACAGTGGTTAGGAATCCGCCTGCCAATGCAGGGGACACAGGTTCGAGCCCTGGTCTGGGAAGATCGCACATGCCACAGAGCAACTAAGCCCGTGCGCCACAACTACTGAAGCCCACGTGCCTAGAGTCCGTGCTCCACAACAAGAGAAGCCACCACAATGAGAAGCCTGCACACTGCAACGAAGAGTAGCCCCTGCTCACTGCAACTAGAGAAAGCCCGCACACAGCAACAAAGACCCAACGTAGCCAAAATAAATATAAATAAATAAATAAAGCAGACTTAGGCTTCCCTGGTGGTGCAGTGGTTGAGAATCTGCCTTCCAATGCAGGGGACATGGGTTCGATCCCTGGTCCGGGAAGATCCCACATGCCGCGGAGCAACTAAGCCTGTGTGCCACAACTACTGAGCCTGTGCTCTAGAGCCCGCGAACCACAACTACTGAAGCCCGCACAACTAGAGCCCGTGCTCCACAATGAGAGAAGCCACCGCAATAAGAAGCCTGAGCACTGCAATAAAGAGTAGCCCCCGCTCGCCGCAACTAGAGAAAACACCTTGTTTTAGATGCAGGGCCTCCCCATCCCCAGGTCTGCCCAATAAACTCTTTGGGAAAACCAGGAGAAAAAATTAGAATTGTCACTGATATATTTAAAAGAAGAATGCCTGTTAAGTCTTAAGTCCATGAAATGAGAATAAGATAATTGAAAAGGAGTAAAAAAGAGGCTTTGGTAACTAAAAACATAATAGCAGAAGTGAAAAACTCAATAGGTTAGTTTAAAAAGTAAATATGAGAACATTTCCCAGAATGTAGAACAAAAAAAGAGAAGAAAATAAGAGAGAAATGATAAGAAGGAAGACCAGTTCAAGAAGTCCAACAAATAAATAATAGGAGTCTCAGAAAACAAGGAAAGAGAAAACAGGGAAGCAATCATCACAGCATAATGCTATAAACTTTCCCAGAACTGAAGGACATAAGTCGACAGATTGAAAGGGCCCACTATGTATATAACACAATGAATGAAAAGAGACTGACACCACACTGTAAAATTTTAAAACACTGGGGATAAAAATTATATAAGCTTCCAGAAGGAGAACACAGGTCACACCAAAGGATCAGAATGGCTTTGGACCTCAAGAGTAACACTGGAAACTACAAGACTATGGAGCAACACGTTTAATATACTGAGGTGATTTCCAATCTAGAATATTTTGTCCAACCAAACTATCAATTAATTCTGAAGGCAAAATAAAATTATTTTCATATTTACAAGGTCTCAAAAAAATTACATACTATGTACCCTTTTTCAGAAAGCTAAAGAAGAATGTAGCCCACCAAATGGGAAACTAAACCAAAAAAGAGAGAATGACACAGGATCCAGGAAATCAGGAATCAAGGAAAGATATAAAGAGAATCATTAAGATGATGGTAAAGGAGTATCCCAGGGTAACAGCTGTGTACATGACATAAAGGATGTACCAGTTCTTAATTTATTGCTCCTCAACTCCAAACCTATCCTCCTTTGTCCTGCATTGTAAAACTTAAACTAGACTCTATAGACCACTATTCTAGGGCTAGCCAGTGTTAGACTCTGACATCAGAATGTGCTAGAGGGGCAATACAAGGATGGAATAAAAAGAAGGGGCTTTTTCTTCTTTTGGTGCCGTGTTGTTTTGAGTGGTGGCAAGTGGAGGCAGACTTGTATTATAGGAAATGCTAAAAGAGGTTCGTAGGGCTTCCCTGGTGGCGCAGTGGTTGGGAGTCCGCCTGCTGATGCGGGGGATACGGGTTCGTGCCCCGGTCTGGGAGGATCCCACGTGCCGTGGAGCGGCTGGGCCCGTGAGCCATGGCCGCTGGGCCTGCGCGTCCGGAGCCTGTGCTCCGCAACGGGAGAGGCCGCAGCGGTGAGGGGCCCGTGTACCGCAAAAAAAAAAAAAAAAGAGGTTCGTAATTTCTGGGACTTCCTTGGAGGTCCAGTGGTTAAGACTCCACGCTTCCACTGCAGGGGGCATGGGTTCGATCCCTGGTGGGGGAACTAAGATCTTGCATGTCGCACAGTGTGGCCCAATAGAAAAAAAAAAAAAAAAGAGGTTCATAATTTCTTTAAAATATAATTGTCCAGTGATTTTGCTCTTAGGTATTTATCGAAGAGAAATGAAAATGTACACTACAGGCACAGAAGTGTACACCAATGTTCACATAACATTATTGCTAGTAGCCAAGATCTAGAAGCAACCCAAATGTCTATCAGTTGGTGAATGGATACACAAGTTGTGGTGTGTCCATACTATGGAATATTACTCAGCAGTAAAAAGGAACAAAATATTAATAAAACAACATTGGTGAATCTAAAAAACATTATATATTAAGTGAAATAAATCAAACACAAAATATTATATAATATATGATTCCATTTACATGAAATTATAGAAACGGACACTAATGACAGAAAGCAGATCAGTGAATTGCCTAGGCTGAGGATGGGGAATGGGACTGTCTATAAAGGGACACAAGGAAACATTTTAGGGT